GCCAACTTTACCTTTTGTGTTTGTTTTTTTTTTTCTGAGGACCTCAGCAAAATTTAATTTTGATTTTACACTTGAAAAGCACCTCAAAAAGTCAAGCATGCTGTGTCAGGTGCCCAGCAGCTACTTACACAGCAAAGGAAGTGGCAGGTTCAGTGTAGCCATTCTGCCCAGTGGGGTACAGATTTCAGTGAGCTACAGCAACCAACGGTGGGCACCTGATGGCATATCCACTCTAACCATGGTAATTCCTTTTGTGGCATTTCAGCTCACCCCTTACCCAGTTGTCGGGTAGCTTGCAGCTTGGAGGGATGTAACAGGAGCTGAATTGTGTTGGGAAATACAAGCAGGAGAAAAAGTACTTAAGGAAGAACATTGACAAGGTGGTAGTAATAAACGGCACGTGGCTTGCAAATTCCCTTGTCCATCTTTCTGTTGCTCAGGAATGCAGGTTTCCAGGTTATAATTCAAATGCCTTTTGCAAAGGCCTTTGCTTTCATTACATTGTTGGTATTTCTTAGGAGAATCGAGAATGTTGACAGTTTTTGCATCTTATACCTGCACTCACGTGAAAGTTATCTTGCATCTGAATTAGGGTATGTGTGCGTTGGTCTGTTGTACCAAGGGGTTTGGTGGATGTTATTTGAAGGGCAGTTTCTGAGTTGAAACGATCCTGGTGTAAAGCTATTCTTTGAGCACCTATTTAGAGCTAAAGTATTTATAATAATAATAAAGCATATTGTCATTTAGATTCTGTGTAGCCGTTTTCATCACCCTCTCTTCTGACCTAAGAGCCCAATTGTTTCTCTTGTCAAATAACAAGTTCTGTAACCAAGCCAACTGACAGTTTTGACTTCTCAAAACCTTGCCAAAGATGTGCAGCCCTGAGGTCTGACCAGCCCTTCTTCACCTGTCCCGGCCAAAGTTTAGGACAAGAAAATTCCGAAATAACGATTCAGGTGCCTTCACAAACCTGGCATTGCTGTGCCTGGGTGTCCCAGAGCCCCCCGGCAGGTGGGTTCACTCCGGAGGCTTGCTAACCTCCCAGCATAAGGTGCGCAGCACGTGTTCCCTTTGCATGACGCTGCGTATTTATTCACAGCTCTGTGAGATCGGCTGCGGTGCATTTTCATTCTGTGTATTGTTCTCCGGGGCTGGTGATGCCATCGCTTTGTGCTGAGTTTTTAAGTGTGCGAGCAGCACTGCTGATGTGACTCCCTGAGAGCCTACTTTGCACTGGCCTGGGATAAAATTCGGTGGTTCATTCTCTGTCGGACGCACGCGCGTGCAGGGAGGCAGGCACGTCGAGAGCGATGGGGTTAGTGTAGCTGGGACACTGGAAAAACTATGCAGGATTCACCCAGCTCTCTGGTGATGGATGGATACTCCAGCAATGTGCCAGCCTTCCTAACTAAACTCTGGACGCTGGTGGAAGATCCCGAAACGAACCATCTCATCTGCTGGAGCACTGTAAGTACGGTGAATATCGGGTGTCGGCGAGTGCCTGCAACAGCAGGAAAAACCCGGGCGTGAGGCCAGAGTACTGCAGCGCCCAGCAGCCTCCCTTGGCATTACAAGTGCGGGTCAGCTAACTGGGAGAGCGAAGGAACTCGGGGTTCGTTAGGGGGACTTTTGCATTTTGCCTCAGACCCTAATTCACTCACATTTTGGGAGAGCTTTACTTGATTTCTGAACAAGTCTGTGTGATGATCACGGGGAAGGGTATGTGTTGTCTGTACAGCTTTGTCGGGATAGATTGTTTTGCTTTGGCTTCTTATTTCTCCCTGAGGCATTAATATACTAAGTGCCATCAAAGAATTAAAATTATTTGTCCCCCTTGTACAGCATTTTGATACCACGTGGTGCTTTTGATCTAAGACTTGCTGCAAATAATGCGATTTGTCTTCAGCAGGGATTATCAGATCAGTTGTGTGCATAAACTTTTTCTCCAAAATCAAGAATCTATAATAAAAGCAGATTTAAAGGGGAAAAAGAATTTTAAAGCAGCCTTTCTACCATGTGTTTGTGTCCAGTAGAATTTTCATTCAATGCTTGAGACAGGATTTAAGCTGCATTGTTATCCAAGGCAACGGTTGCTTTCTGATGGTATTACATGGCCGTACCTCTGAGAACCACCAAGTTTTGGTATCTTGTGTTTTAACTGAGGAATTTCAAACTAGCAAGGATTTTCTAACATGTATATATAGTCCCTTCTCTTTTACGCTTATAACTATTATTTTTGACTGACCACCACCACCATGCTCTGCTTTCCTGCAACATAATGTAGGCTACAGCAACATTCTTGGGAGGTTTTGGTAAGGCTTTTTAGTTTCCCGTGTTGCACGTTCCCATGTCTCCCATGTTCTTCCTCTTCTCTCCATCAGTGTTGCTGGAGATGAGAAATTGTGTGCATGCCTAAGATTGCCGGTGTGATCAGAGCTCTTAGAAAATAGGACCTATAAGGACCTATGAACTGCTTCTTAGCATGAAGGAGAGAAGATGGAGAGGAAATGTCATAATGGTTCATAAATATACTCACGGCTGTTGTAAGGTGGAAGGGAAAAATCTGCTGTCTGTGCCCATGGTAGGTTGGACAGGAAGTCATTAAATGGATTTTTGAAATGGAAGATGCCATTAAGGGGAAGTAGCAAAACCCTGGAGTAACTTGCCTGGGCAGGGTGTCAGTCCTCATGGGTCTGTCAAAAACAGGATAAGCACCTGCCAAGACTGCCATGCTGCAGAGTGAATTTTGCCTTGGGCAGAGAAGTGTTTCCCAGCTTGGTCCCATGGCGTAAGACAAGCGAGGCACAGCTGCTGTGTGGGAACAAGCGGGCACATGCAGGGTTCATTGGAGAAGGCGCAGTAACTCCAAAGGCTCTTGCGTCTGTAGGAACGCTTCTGGCTGCACCAGCTTCTGAGAACGTTGCAGCCCTCAGTTCAAAGTAATGACCTCTCCGGAGAGGCCATAAGGAAATGTTTAGGTACACGAAACCATGTTCCTCATACTACATCAGCCTGGGGGATGCAGCTGTATCCCGGAGGGAGGGAGCGGGCAGAAGCACAAGGGAAGCAGGATAAACCAGCTCTGTCCCCAGAGCAGCCTTTGCAGTGGTAGGAAACCCTGGTCCCTGCTGTCATGTCTGGAAGCTCAGTCTATGAGGGTAATTTCAGCGTACGGATTCTTTGTGAATCCCTTAAGTACTTGACCAGCCTTTGCTGCTGCTGCATGAGGTAAAGAATGGTAGGAAAGACCTGGTGATGGTCAAAGGGCACTGTCAAGGCAAACAGTCATGTTCAATGTTGGCAGCAAGGAGCATGAAGCACAGCTGACCCCGGGTCATATGTTTGTAGGCGCATAGGGTTAATTGTTAGAGCTGACAAACGAGCCAGAGCACCGTTTGGTGCTGGAAATGCAGTGGCATTGAGCAGGGAAGCAAAGTTTGCCAGGGGGCTGTTTTCTGGTGGCCATGGGCAGGCCACAGGCACACACAGGCACTTCTTTAGTCACTGAACTTCCTCGTGGTCCTGATTACACTCCCTGTTTTAGAAACCTCCAGGCAGCCCTGAGAGCACACATGCAGCTACGGACCCTGTGATGGGTGCGTGGGGGGACCCACACATCGCTGTTACGCTCCTACTGTGCGCGGAGCTTGAGTGCTCACCCTTGAGTGCTCGCTGTCCTCTGTCAAAAACCATCCGGCTGTGAAATAACGCGCACGCCGACACACCACGGGAATAACGCTGAGCACAGCAGGAGGATGACCCTGGCTGTGCTGGTCTCGGACCCCTCCCTGCCAACACCGCGCAGACCCTGGTGTCTGTAGCTAGCTGCCCCTTGAAACTTGGCTGCAGCAGAGTCGGTACGTCCCAATATCTGCAGATGTCTTGGCCCTGGCACAGGTCTCTGCGTATTGCCTGCCCCTCCATAAAGCTGTGCCCGCATCGTTGGGTGGTTCCCCAGGTAGCTCTTTGCAGCTTTCCCTCTCCACAAGCAAAGCCAATGTGAGCCCCTGGAAGATACCTTTCTCTGCAAGTTTACAAAAACGCCGCATGTGACCCAAACTCCATGTCTGAAATCATGATTCTTCATTCCTCCAAATTCCCAGTGCTGCCCTCCTCTCTCCCACAGAGCAGAGGTAGGGTTTAAGGTGGTGCCCCTGTCACCTCATCCTGCAGACACTGATCTGTTGAGGTGGAAGATTCAGAAAACATTGTTTCTGTGTGTCGGTTACTGATAAAAAATAATTGCTAGTTTTTCTGTGCCTTAAGAAGGTCACGTGGATTGCTGTTTGTAAAAAGTTCCAAGGCAGCTTCAGGGGGTTGTGTCCCACAGGCCCTCTCTGTAGCAGCTTAACTGTCAGCAGGGAGAAGGCCAGGCACCTGGCGTGCAGTGTGTCAGTCTCTGCCAGCTATCCCAGGCAGTTTGCCTGCTGTTGCAATCCTGGATCCTGGCAATGCGACCTCAGAAACGGGTATTTTATCTGGTTAATATCCATGTTGCTGGCTTGGACTGTGAAGCATGACTGTTAACATTTTGCGGTTGCCCTTGTGCCTGTTTACTTTCAAAAATAGTCAGGAGAGGGTGTGTAGAGCTCCTGGATCAGTGTGGTGTCTTTCAGGAACGATTTGCTTTCTTGCCTTTCTGTGTTTCTTGTGACGTGTCTCCAGGCAGTGCTCCCTCCAGGACTGTTGTGCTCTGGAGCAGATGGGTCAGTGCTAGACCTATATGAGCAGATCAAGGGATTCCCACTTCCCAGGAGTCTTTCTGTGAGGTGGACGACCGCAAGCTACCAGCTATCTGTGTATAAAAGTCTGTAGTTTCTTTTTCACATCCAAGGCGCTGGACTGAGCAATGGCAAAGCTTGGTAGAAAACTTAGATCCAAACTGTAGTCACAGAGGGGTGATCATACCAGAACTGAAAGGAGTACATCCGTCACCGAAGGCTGTTGTCACTCTTCTCAGCTTCCAGGTGACAATTCAGAGAGCACGACTTCCCCTGTTCCATAGGACTCAAGGGAACCACCTCCTCGTGGGCACCTCTCCTGGTCAGGGATGCTCCTCTGACTTCACCTTTGTCCTCGTCTCCTTTGCAGAATGGCACCAGCTTCCATGTGTTCGACCAAGGACGCTTTGCCAAAGAGGTGCTGCCCAAGTATTTCAAACACAACAACATGGCCAGCTTCGTCCGGCAGCTGAACATGTGTGAGTTCAACCTCCAGATCCCAGGCCGTGTGGGTCCTGCAGACATGGGGGGAGCAACAGAAAGTGGGCTGGGACAGGAGGCATGAGAGAGAACTGTGGATGGAAAAGTTGAGCTCTCACAGATACGCGTTATTGTGGCATTATTGGTTTTGCAAAGACGACCTGCCCCTCAGATGCCAGGGGAGTGATTTCCTTGCATTGACCTTAAATTCCAGCATGAAATTTTTGTTAGATTGTAAGATGTGAGCTAAGAAATTTCAGCTACAAGGTTTTCTGGTTCTCTTGCAGCAATTTGATGACCTATAGTTATTTATTTGCCATTTTATTCTATATAGGAATTTTTCCAGCAGCCTGATACTGTGACACCTCCCCCAGAAGCTGCTTCTTCTGAGGGTAGCACACCCAGAGCTTACCCTTTTCCCAGCCGTATTGCTGAACTAATTATGAACAGTACTTCTCCCTGCAAACCTTGTCTTGCTGATTGGGCATTTTCATCCCTTAACAGAGGTTTAGGTGTAGTTGTTACCCACATCTAGACCACAACTGTATTACATATGGTTCTTCTCTGATAGTTTGTGGAAGTTTTTCAATGACTGGTTCACAAAGTTCCCCTCACTGAGGTTTTAACTTTGCTACTTAAGCATACAGTAGCCCGATTGTAATTTTTAGGCCAGTCTTTAGATACAGTTTAGAAACTTTTCTAGGACTTCAGAGAAGTACCCAAAGTAGATTTCCAAAGGTGCATGTGACCCTTTTTTCCCAAAAGTGGCACCTGATGCTGGTCTGTGCCTTTGAGAAACATTCGCCTGAATCCCTTTGGCTTGCAAACCAAACCAGGGATTTCGTAAGGACAGGCGTTTCACCTCCTGGCAGACAGACCGACATGCCCAAGGGGCTGCCGGTGAGGCCTTCATGGCCAGCGGCAGCGTGTCCCCAGAGACACAGGTGTCTAGCGGGATGCACGGAGCTCTCCCTTGCACTGGATTTCTTGTAGATATAGCCCAAAAGCATGCCCAGCTGCAGGGAGGGGGCACGGTGGTGCCTTGAGCAGCTCAAAGAGTGGGAGTGAGCAGACATGTCCTCAAGAGCAAAGGGGTGGGAGGCGAGGATGAGGGCCTGGGTCTGTTGGCCCTTCACCCTTGCCCTCTCCACACAGACGGGTTCAGGAAGGTGGTGAACATCGAGCAAGGGGGTCTTGTCAAGCCGGAGCGGGACGACACGGAGTTCCAGCACCTCTGCTTCCTGCAGGGCCACGAGCACCTCCTGGAGCACATCAAGAGGAAGGTGAGGGGCACTGGGCTGGGGGGACATGCCAGCCAGGCCTTGGCCTCGCTTCGCTTTAAGCCGGCTGTTTCTTTATTTGGGCCTTCTGCTGGAAGAGAAGTGGTCAGTACTTGTTTCCTGTCCCTCAGACGGCTGGAGCGGGAAATGCCTCAGTTCTCCCGTCTGTGCCTTTCTAACCCTCCCACATCCCCTTTTTTGGGGCAGATTGACCAGAACAGCACTCCATGGTCATTGCGAGGGTTTGTACCGTAGCTGCACTCCTCTCTTGATGACTCCAAAATGGTTGTTTGCTTTCTGACCGTGGGCTGCCGTACTGCACACTGCTTAGCATAACTCCAAGACCACACTGTGGTCTGGTTTCTGGCCTCCCCTTATATACCTGTAAGGCTGGGGGGTTCTCAGTGTGCTGATCTTGGCTTTTGTCAGTTCTGTCTGCGGGGTTTTTTTGCTCTGTCACTCAGTATCATGCGACCTTTGTGTAGTGCTTCATGGCCAGGCTTGCTTCACACCCCCCTGCTTTTGAATCACTACCTGCTTTTCTAGATAAGTACAGCATCACTCCTGCTGGGTCTCCCAACGGTCATCTCCTGTTATTATAGAAACCATAACCTACTCCTACTTTCAGTTCGCTGTCTTTTAACCTGTTATTGATGCCCAAAAAGGGCTGTTCTCTTGCTGAATTAGCGTATTGACTTCAGAAAAGGGACTTCAGCAAAAGCCTTGTGGAAATCCAAGTGTAATATATCAGTTTAAAGCCGTTCCTCAGGCTCATTCCTGTAAAACATGCATCCAGATTTGGTCTCTCTGTAGTTAAAGTAGAAAGTATTCATCAAACAATCTAGTTCAATTCCACCCTGTTCCTCAAAATACCATGTTTTTTTACCCCAAACTGGTTCGAAATAAGTCCCCACTCTAGTGGAGAATGTCCTGCTGCCAACAGACCCTCTGTACAAAAAGCATTTTTCCTGCTCTTTGCTCTATTTTACCCCTTTGACCCTTGCAGTAATACCGTCAGGATAGTTCAGCCTCTAGTGCACGCATCGCCTGTCCCAGAATTTCTGCACGTCAGAGCCTTGCCCCGCGCTGAGCCGCAGCAATGACTCTGTCCATGCCCTTCTTGTGTTGGTAAAACACACCTTTGATTGTTTTCCTCCTCAGGTGTCGGTAGTGAAAAGCGAGGAGACCAAGATGCGCCAGGAGGACCTCAGCAGATTGCTATACGAGGTACAGATACTGAGAAGTCAGCAGGAGAACATGGAGTGTCAAGTGCAGGACATGAAGCAGTGAGTTGAATCCTACTCAGGCTGCTTCTTACGGGCGTTTGCTTCTTGAGAGTTGTTGGTCTTGGGTATGCTTGAAATGAGGAGCCTTACACATCCTGAGCCAGGACTAGTCACAGGGACTAGATCTGTTGCGACAATAACACGTAGGATTTCTCTGCAGGCTGGTGATCAACAAAATATGAATTAACACTCTTCTTCTGTGAAAGGTAGATATATTCTCTTAATCTGTATTTTCCCTTTACAGATGAGGAAAGCACAGAGGAGGCCACGCAGGAAATAAGTGTATCACTTGGGGACTTAACTCACATAACTCTATTTCCTCCCAGTGGAAATGATGGTAAAGATGTAACTCTTTCTCACCTGGAAGAGTCCTTGGCAGAAATGTGGCAGTGCCCACTCCAACTATTAAAAAATATCTCTCTGTCATCCTCCACCTCCAAAATATATGACTGGCCAAAGGTATATAAGAATGCAAGAACTGTTGTAGTATTTAGTCCATCCCACTGAAGGCTGTGTCTTCTGACATGGCCAAAATTGTTGTGTAAGAGCAAAACAACTGAAATGCTTCTTGCGTGTGGCTACCTGAGCTCCAGCTGTCTGAGACTCTGGGATTTTCTGAGTCAGACATGGTCACTAGGAATTTAGTAAACAGATAATGATTTTACAGATCATGTACTTGGAGAGGTTTTTGTTTGCCTTCAGAATTTTAATCCTTACAGAGAATTAGATTTTTTTTTTCAAGTGCTTTTTAAACAATAAGACCCAAAACTTATTTTGTAATGATATTCATACCTTGCCAGAGGACACTGGCATCCTGAACCTTGAGAGAACAGCAGACACTGTGCATTTTCATTGCAGCCCAGCCCCTTATGTGCAGCAGATAAATGTTTTTATTCTCCCTCGAATTTTAATGACTCCCACACTTAGCACTTGCATGAAATAATGAAATCCAGGTACAGTGGCAATGAAAGAGTTTCTAGGCTTGTGTCTTACTGAACAACAGTACCAATGATTTGGTCTTGCTTTGAGTTTATTCTCCCTTTTGGTTTGCTTGCTCCCTCCATCTGTCACAAGGCAAAATTGCATTCAACTGCTGAAAAGAATATTTTTATAAACTAAGACAGACCAGAAATCCCAGAATTTTACACTGGTGAAGAACCATGAGGACATAACCACCGTGCTAGCTGTCAGACTGAGGAAAGCTGCTTTGCTGAACAGCCTGCCAGTACCAGTGCAGAAAGTTCACTGCAGAGATTCTTGCTATACAAGCTGCTATGCTAGAGCAGCTCCTGTGCTCTTTCGAGCCCTGGACCTTGTCTTCTCAGTTCTGGCATCAATCCACACTGGAAAGACTAAAACCACCCAAGGGATATGTAGCAAAAGGATCTACAAATTTCCCCCGTATGATAAGTTTTGCTGTCCTGTCGATTTTGGTACATCCATATACCCTTGAAATAAGTTGACTGCCAAAGCCTTTTGCAGCATGGGCTTGGCTGGCAGTTACATTTGGAGGCAGCGCAGTAAATAAACTTTGTGTCCCCCATCCAACTTTCTGGGGCTTAACCGTTCAAGGAAGCCTGTGACTCCTGTTTGCTGCATTTGCAGACAGAGAATAAACCTGCTCTATACAATTGCAAGCTGGACACAGGTCTGTGCTGGATGAAATCAGTGACTCCCGTTAACGAAATCATTACAGTCCTCCTAGTTCAAGGCTCTCAGATGCAGAAGCATCCCTTTAGCTGCTCCAGTCATGCCCAAATCTGCCTTTTTACCACCGCGAATGGTTTCAGCAGGCAGAATACATAGGATTGCTATCCGTTATTCTTGGTCTTTGCAGGCACTGGAGGCGGTTGTAGAGAGGTTGGGCTTTCTTGGCTCCCACAGGAAGAACAGTCTTGGTGATCCAAATAATTCAGAATCACAAATCAGGCCTTGCTGAAATTCTGAGTTCGGCCCAGATGTTCCACATAAACTAAACAAGCGTATCCTCGTTACCCTCCCCTATATATGTTGGCTTCTCTTTATTTGTTTCTCCTCCAGGCTTTGGTCTGTAGCTCTTTTGAGGTTGAGGAAAAACAAGGAAAGTAATCCTGTGACCTTGGTTGGGACACCTGAAAAGTGCCAAGCACTGCAAGAGCCCCAAAGTCAGACAGATTTCGCACAGTTGGGCCTACTGTGCATCATGGCAGCACCACGGGCTGTTGGGATGTTTCTGTGCTCACAGAAAGTTTCTGTTTCACTTTCAGGCAAAACGAAGTGCTTTGGCGAGAAGTTGTTTCTCTCCGGCAGAACCACTCGCAGCAACAGAAAGTGATCAACAAGGTAGCGGTCGTATAAACTCCAATCTCATTTGTACTGCATGGTGGATGTCCTCCTCTGATTTTTTTTTCTTGTCCCATAATCTTCTCCACACTCTGATGTCGCATTATATTTATTTTCCCTCTTTCAAATTGTGTAATGCTCTTACATGTCCTGCGGGAAATAGTCACTAGCAAAGCACAGATTATGCCCTCAAGCAAAAGATTTTAATTTCCCCGTCAGTTCTCAGTGTGATGGTAGAAACCACTCTTTTGTCGAAGTCCTGAGCAGGAGAGCACAGCTCTCACTAACAGCCCTGTATTTGCTGTGCTATGGCTGTCCCGATGCCTTTGGGCTCCCCAAACCTTTCTTCTTTCCTTCGTGCAAGAGAGGAGCCTCCCCCTCGCACCAGCACTGAGGCTGCCAGCAGCAGGATAGGCTAGCTATTTCCCGAGTGAGGACCTTCAGCCACTGCCATGTGTTCTGGTGTTACTGGTGTAGTTGAGGAATTACTGTACAACCTTCTCAGACTGAAGGAGCACCATGGAGCCATCTGCCTTAGAATCTAGCACGACCCGTACTAGAAACGGCCTCACCAGTGATTCCTAGGTGGTGCAGACGTGACTGTACATGTCACATTTCCCAGTCCCTGAGAGCCACGTTCTGACCCTCACGTGGCACCACAGTCATAGGACTGGATAGAAATGCACGAGGCTATCAAACCTCCCTCCGTCTCTGAGGCTGAACAGGCCACGCCACTCATTGTAGAGGCATTTATGCAACTCTATTTTGTTATATTGAGCAATGAGTAAAGAGACAGCTGTGATATATGTAATAATGCTCTCTTTGTTCGGAGGTCAAAGCAGAGCATTAGGCTCAAGCTGACCCGGGAATATGTTGCTAAGTGATTCCTCTCCAAAGCCCTCCTGCATCCTTTTTAGTGTCCTGTTACATCAACACTGAATTTCCCAGGGCTGGAAAACTCAACTGAAAGAGCTAAGGCCTCCATCCAGGGTCTCCCTTAGGAGGCCGCTTCCTTCCCTTGCAAAGTCTTTATCAGACTCTATAGAGCCTCTTACAAAGGGCTCCGAAGACTTCTACGGAGGCCAAGTCTAACTTCAGACCTGTTTGCGTGTGCACTTCACAGGCAGATTCCCAAGGCTAACAGGGCTAGCTGGAGTTCTGCGTGCACAGAAATGGAGAGAGGAAGCTCTGAGCATGTGCAGCTAGCAGCCTTCGCACAAAGCAGGCACCTGGCTGTGTTTCTTGACAGCCGGGCAGGTGGTTTGAGTTCTTGGGAAGCTTAGTTCTGTTTCGGACTTTGATGTCTCATGCAATTTGGCTCCCATATTTCATGGCTGCTTCCAGCTTCAGGATGGAGTTGGGAGGGAGGAATGCATGAGATAAGAATGGCTGTGAGAGCAGGGAGTGCTGAATCACTCTGCTGATTAACACCGGATTTTGATCTCTCCTGACAGCTGATTCAGTTTCTGTTTGGCCAGCTCCAATCAAGCCCTAGCAGCACTGGGATAAAGAGGAAGCTGTAAGTACCCTTGTGTGGTGCGCACACGCTCACGGGTGCATAATGCTGCCCCCTCACTAAAAGCACAAGCTCAGCTTGCGCAGGCAGGCGGTCACCGGACCAGGGCACCATGGTGATGGGAAATGAATGGGCTGAACTGCCGAGTCAGACCTGCTGACATGCCCCATTCAGTGGTCTTTAGAGAAGCACCGTGTCAGCTCGTGACCTTTATTTGGGGAATACAGACGGAGATGAGAGATGGGAACGCTAACTAGTGGAAGGGTAAAGGACAGGACCCCGCTGCTGGTCCTACAGGTTCCAGTTTTGCCACTTGTCATCAGTGGGAACAGGGCCAGAGCCAGCCTGCCCACAGACATCTCTTAGTTTGACCCACGGTCACTGAGAGGGGAGTATGTCTGACTCAAGTTTGGTGGCATATAACCTGCAGGCCTTACAGAGAGAAAGGTGGAGAAAGATGTTTAGCTAGATATCTTTAGAGTCATAAATAAGCTCCTCCAGGCAAGCAAAGAGAGGAGCTTGAATTAAGAAGCTTGGTGCCTTCCAGGAGATCTGTGGTGCATTTCTTGCTTTTGTGACCTAAAGAGGGGAGAGGGATCACTAAGAGGAATTTACCTTTGTGGCTCAAGCTGAGCACAGGGACCTGCCTCCAGTTCCCACCTTCATTACCTTATGGCCTTTGGCATCTCAGAAACTTCTCCATGCCTTGGAGAAACGAGCCAGACTTCCCCAGAATGACAGCTCAAGCGGGTGGACTTTAAGTCAGTGCCCTTGTTCTAGGCTGACTCTTCTCATGAGGGCTGTAAAAGAATCACAGGATTGAATCAAGGAGCCCCATAATCTGTACAGGCGAGCTGGGTACTCCTACCTCTGCTTACCCCAGATACCAAGCCTCTTGGAAAGGGTAAACACTGCACGGAGAATGGTAGCAAAGAAGAGGGCTCAGGGGGAGGATATCAGCTGCTTTGAGTCACTGAGGTTCATGGGTGGGGAAGTTTTCTTCCAGTGGAGTGGGGAAGCAGAGGAATGAGGTGCCAGATCTGATCTCTAACTTCTACAGTCAGGGCTGTGCCCTCCCTGTAAAAACTTTGCAGCTCAAGAAATGTTGTCTTAGACTACTGCTTTTTGAAAAAAGCAAATCATGAGTTAGAAACTGTGCTGAAAGGGGCAGAAGAGCACAGAACGATCTGAGCAGCAGCTGTGTTGGCCTCCTTATGAAGAGGGATCACATTGACACCACCCAGCTGCAGTTTGCACAGTACTGCACATGTTAATTTGGGTTTCTGCTTCTTTGGAAACACAAAGGTCTGTGTTCAAGGAACCTCAGTTCTTGTGTCTGTATCTGCCCTTCTATCTGCCACAGTTTTGTTTTCCTGCCTCCGTTCTGAATGACTGCAGGAAAGCATAGTGTACAGCCTGGATCAACTCTTGGCGCAGACCCGAGCGCTGACAGGGGTCTCTGGGTAGGTTTGGACAGGATGGGCGCATCTGTAGGTCCCACAGGCACATCTGACCTGGGAGGCTGTTAGATGGATCAGGCACCAAAGTTATTTTGACAAGAGTTGTTGGATGGGGAGGTTCATTTATGTCTCCTGCGGCAGAGAGACAGACACTCACAAATTTGTGATTGTGGCAGGGCTGGCTGTGAGATCTGTGTGTACATGTGCTTATGCCATAACAAGGTCCATATCAGGATGATTCACGTGGCTTTTTTATTCTGTGTCTTTAGTTAATGTCATAGAATGGAAAAAGGCTGTTAAATGGGCTGTTACGCAACACCGAGATCTCAAGCCCTGTGGTCACTGCGTCCTGCTGTGTAATGCCCTTCACTGTGGGATCTCCCTGGAGTCTGAGTAAACCTGTAATTTCTCCCGGCATGTCCAGCTCCAGTGTCCGTAGGATGGAGCAAGCTAGGAATTATCTTCTCTCAAGCCTGTTAGACATTACTGTGGAAAAAACCTGTTGGCTTTCCCTAATGCCCTTCGCCAAATCAGTCTGCTGAATGAATACAGGAGATGCAATTCCTGACTGCAGGACAGTGGGAGGAGAGGAGGGATTTGCTAGGCAGCTTTATAGGATCATCACAGCACTAACAAGAGTGGGTGTGTAGGAAAATATACCGGTTCCCAGCTTCTCTGGCAGGGTATCACAAAACGGAGGACTGCCGCCCAGGAAGTTTCATGTTGGAAAAGCAGTGCCACTTGGAGGCACCTTCTCACTTTCTCTTGGTTTCAGTCCTTTACTAAACATAAGGCACTCCTGGTACAGGACCCAGCAGGCAGACCTGCTTCTGGTTGGTGGTGACTCTCTGTAAAAGCCTGTCAGTCATTTTTTAGAAGCCTGTATCAATGAGTTTAGGCTCTGCTCTGCTTTGTGCATCCCTCTGTTTTATTACTTAGTGGGTGGCAGGGGTTTCTTTCATGCAGTGCTATGTATGGAGATGTAGTTTTGCCAAAGAGGCCGTCAACACGAGGGAGCTGGTAACAATGCCAGATTCCCAACATTGCACTAATAATTTCCACGTAGCTACCTGCAGTTAAACAAGCTGAGGATCAAGCCTTGAGCTTGAAACAACTAGCAATTAGAAGAAAGCATGAATTGGTTATTTTACTTCCATCTTTCAAATAAGATCTAGAAACCGTAGATTATCCCTTCTCTGCATGGCTAATGCCCTTTGTTAATAGTGACCTCCCCCAAAACTGTTGTTTCCCTTCCTTGCCCATAACACTAGACAAGAAAGTACCTTACAGCTGAGGAAAAACAAAGTACCCAGGGGAAAACAACCCTCGGCTGAGAGACATTTCTTACATGAGCAACCAGGAACCAGTCAGTGTGTGCTGGGAAAAAAACCCTCTTTCTCTTCACAGACCTCTGATGCTTGACAATGGGATCTCAGCTCCGCAAGTGTCCAAGTTCAGCCGGCATTTGTCTACAGACCCCCTCCATGACCCCTATTTCATACAGTCGGTAGGTTTACACCAGCCTCTCAGCTTTGTAGGGTTTCTTTGGCCAGTGTGGCAAAATGTTTGAATCAATAATACCGGTTACAGAGTAAGTCATTTGGAAAGAGTTTGGCAGTGCAGAAGAGAAGAGGTTTGCAAAGCTGAGTGACGTTTGTTATTTCTTCAGCTCCCCTGTTTTGGGGAAGGGCCATGCTTGCATGCGCTTGTGCTGCCATGTTCATGTGGGAGGCCGTGGGTTGTGGAAGCAGAAGGCAGACCCTGCACACCAAAACCTCCATGGTGTTACCCCAGCCTGGCTCATCTCAAGGGCAGAGAGGAAAAAACGTGTTGTAGAAGTGGGTGCTACGATCTTTCTGACCAGAGCCAGATGTTTGCAGTTGCTGAGGGATCCCCACCACCCTGACCCACCAAAGCTGACACCAGACATGTATGTCATGCAGTTAAAATACTTGAGCTGTTGTAACAGACCCATAGGCTGTGTTGGAACTCTCTCTCCAGAGGAAGCTAAGCAGTCCAGGAAAAATGTCAGACAGGGTAAAACCCCTCAGTGGCTGACAGTTCAGTCACAGTGCCTAATTACACCTGCACCTCTGTGTGGTTGGTGGAAAGACCAGAGGAAATGATAATGAGGGTAAAACCTTTCTTGGTTTCCATACAAGGAGGACTCAGGAGCACAGTGAGTAAACCCTATCTGTCTCAGATAGGGCCTTGGACTTGTTCTGGGCCTCAGAAGGATAAATCTATATGATTTCTTCTTTCCTCTTAGCCATCGACAGAACCTGCCTCTTGCCTAAACAGCCCTGCAATTGCTGGAGGACCCATCATATCCGATGTTACTGAAGCATCGCCATCCAACATAATAAATATGCAATCCCCTCCTGAAAATGACAGGTAAACATGTTTGTGATTAAAAACAGGAAGAATTGGGTATGGACATGCATAACTTCAAAAGAGTTTTCCTGGCTGTAATTCTACCAAAGTGTCTGTCTGACTCACAAATCTCTACAGAGGTGATGGGTTGGCATATTTTTCCCAGTTTGCAGCGTGGGTCAGGTTCTCAGAATTAAGGAGGGATAACAGCAGCATAACTTTTGAAACAAAGTTTCATGCTAGGAACTTCCACTCACATCTTTGAGAAGTATTCCATGTTTCTTTATATTTTGTTCTCAAGACAGGGGCTGTCTCAGACTTTATCAAATGAGACACTAGCACTTGTTGGGTTTGTTGAGAGAGAGAAAGGAAGTTTCCTTTTGGCTTTGACAAAGAAGAAACAGAATCAAACTGTACATCTTTCTGCTGAGAACAGAAAGGTTGCATCACAGCAACTTCCGATGTTTGACAACTTTTCTGTGAAAAGGTCCCATAACTGAAGAACTGAATGCAGAGGTATTTTAATGCTTATCTCTTCCTGCCACAGACATGCAGTGTATTTGGGGCTCATAGCAGAATAGCGACAGCTATGTCAGTGGAAAGTAAGTAGACAGATGAATCATGGAAACGGTTTCTCAGGCATAGAGGCAAGGTCAATTATACTCTAGAAATTGCCTGTAAATCTGCCTTGTAATTGAAACCATAGCCATAAAGTTAGCTAAAATCATGTAAAGAGCTCCAGACTGGAAAAACAAAACCAAACCAAACCAAAATAAACAAAACAAACCCAAACCCTACCAAAACTGTAAGCCATTTCTAAAGCAGAATAACTTTAACCTTCAAGTGAAGTTATGTCTACTAATTGCTGAGTGCCATCTGGTGGCCTCTGATCTGTGTCTGCGTGACTCAAGAATCTGAGCCAGCCTCAACCCTAATGAGTTCAGGAGTGTGGTACTTCCCAAGCCAACATGAGCTTCTGGTGGGCATTCAGGATTCACGAAATGAGGTGATCTGAAATGAATGCCAAGGAAGGTTTTCTAGTGTCACTCCGCATCCCATATGTGTGACAGGCTCATGTGTGGTCTTGCAGCAAAGCTAGTCTGTGAGTGTTGTAAGAGAATCTTTTTTCTCTATGGCTTTCCGTGGCTTGTGCCTGTTGATCTGCATGCCTTTGTCACTTTGCCTCCAGTTGTGCAGGTTCACGGGGAGCTGTAAAACCTCCTGTAAGTGGTACAGAATAGATTCTTACATGCAAAATGCTACTATTCAAAACTTCAGTCTCATATGTCCATCTAGGAATTAGCATGGAGCGTCTCTCCCACTGGAAAAAGGCAAACCTCCACTTCCAAACAAGTAAAACATCTGACTGGGGCTGTCAGATCTTGACAGCTTGTATTCCAACTCCTGCAGGGCCACAAGATCCTGAACTGTGTCACTTGGATCGCTAGAGTGCTCACTGGTCCAATTCTAACTCCTACAAAGGGAGGTCTTACTGATCCCATTCCTATCTCTAGGTTGGAGACTTTTCCAGGAGATCCTCTCTAGCCTAGTGACCCTTTAACCTGTCTCAGGCCTAACACTCACACAAGGAATGATCAACATATGGGTGTATTTTCCGTATTTGCAAAACAATTGAATGGGGCAAATTCATCATAGCTCTGACTGATGAAGTGATTGAAGATACTCCAGCTGAGCATGTTTCTGGAGCTTGCTGAAAAAACAAGGTTGCTGGTTTCTTTTGCCCATCTAGGGGAATGGAAAGACCCTGTGGGGCAGTTTGATGGGAAGTGGAAGCAAGCCCTTGTGCTGTTGCCTTTCCCAGCAGCGCGAGGCCTTTGTGGAGCAGGTGTGTGTGTGGTGCTAAGTCTTGTCTCTGATACAGGGAGAAGTGCCTCATGCTGATTAAGGAAGAGCCAGTCAGCCCTGGAGTGAAAGCTACTACGGAGCCTGATGTCCCCATGCCAGGCTGCCGGGCTTGCTCTGAGCCCCCAGTGCTCCCGGTCGCCATGGTTCAGTCTGTTTTGGAAGGCAAAGGGAGCTGTGCAGCCCCCCCAGCAACCTCACAACCAGCCGAGAGAAGAGGCAGAAGGGCACTGCTGGAGAGGTGAGGTGGACGAGGGAGAGCTGTGGCCCTGCCTGTTTCAGGGCCCTCTCTTCCTATTAGCCGGGGGGCTGACTTTTCGTTGCCTAATGCAGCCTGGTGAGCTCCACCCTGTACCTGTGGCACCTGCTTAGAGGACCCTTGAAGCCCAGAGGGCAATTCACAGGGACGGGGGGGCTGTGGGTGACTTGCTTGAAGGACCCAACAGAGGAAGAGCTGTCAGAGCACATGCAGCAGAGCCATGGGAACAGGAGGAGGCTTTCTCCAGTGAGAGGGGTTTACCCAAGGTCCACGTAAAAGCTGGAGCCCAGAGCAGCATCCACATCTGCAGGCTTGCAGGCCACCGGACCGCACTACGCCTCCAGTAGCTTGTGTGCCCTCTGCCATTTGTTTTGATGAATCACATAAAATCATAAGGAAATGTTTGTCACTGCTGCTTCGGTGCCAGGAATAAGGTGTCACTCGTGTGCCAATACACAGACAGTGACGGAAGATGATGGTCATGGAAGATGACAGTCAGGCATCATCGTAACCTCTGCATTAAGTAGGGCATATCCTTGATAAGGCATCAACACATTTATCAGGCCTAGGCTTGGGCTTGAGAAGGAAATAGTTTACCCCCTTTCTTTTCCTCTCCTGTGCTGTGAAGTCAAATAGACTTTTCTCTTTAGCCTGGTCTCCCTTTGCATCTCCTTGTATCGCCTTTCCAAGGTGGCTCTCCTGAGTCATGCTAGGTCAGTCTCTGGGGGGCAGCCAGTGGCTTTGGCACTATCACATGGGCCGCATGCTTCCGGGGAGGTGCTGGGGATCTCAGCTTCCTCACCTCTGACTAAAAGTGAAAACCCACAAAACGTAGCTGCCTTGCTGTGCTTGCCCCCTTGAACTGGAGGGGCTCGGTAAAATGCGAGGCAGTCCAAAGCAAGGCTTTACAAAAGGGTATAAAACCATGCCTTACAGTGATAAAATAGCAAGTGAGGTCAGCTGGAGGTTTGGGAGTTTGTGTTCACTGTGTGCAGAATCCTGACACTAAGGGCTTGAGTTTTCGTTGTTTCGAAGCCAAGTCACGCAAGTATCCTGGATGTCGTGACAGTCACCCAGAGAACGATGTCCTCTTGCAAGGGGGATTAGCACGGTGTCATTAGGCTCTGCCCCAGGGGGAGCTGCGTGAGCCACTTTTGGAGCTGTCACTGAGTGAGATCCCAACAGCACCGGTGTCACGGGTGAGGGTACAGCAGACTCCCGCAGCGGGAGGAAAACACGGCTGCAGCTTGGTGGATGGTGTGGAAGTTAACTGCAGAATTTTTTCTTGGTGTCAACTGCAGCAGTGTAAGGAGGACTGAAGGGAAAAATCCCCAAACACTGAATAGGCTTATCAGAAAGGCTTCTGTTTTCGTTTGGATACTTACTGAGAGCCAAATTCCTTCTTCTGGACCCACTGGCTACTTAAAAACATTTAATTAGAAGAAAAATCATCCTTTTTTAAAGACTCTGGATTTTAAGAGGATTTTTTGTAGTTTTTGTGTGGGATTGAACACAGCAGGGACTCACAGTTGCTCCTTTGGCTGAATGTCTTGCTGAATGCCTGCAGGTAAAAGTCACTCCCTTAAAAGCCATCAGTTAATAGTAATGCAGGCATCTTGGACCCAGGAGGATGGGAATGCAGCCAGTTCTGGATCCCAAGTGCCTCAATAGAAGGATTTCTTCTAAGGAAAGCATTAATTTTCCCAGTCTTGAGGAGATGTGCACAGACTATCCATCCCCAAACCACATGCGTCACCCAGGAGAGGAGTCGTCTCGCCTGTTTTACCATCAGCCCAGTCCCCTGGGTGCTCTGCTGGGTTGTATTTTTGGGATTGAACCAAGTCATGTGGCATAAACACAGGCTGGCAGCCATCTCTTGGTTTTCAAAATGAGGTTTAGGCACAGACCTCATGGTAGAAGGCTGCTCAGTCCTGCTTCTGTATGTATCTATGCAAGTCTCATTCATGGTAATATTTCCCCTTGTCTTTCCTCAGAACAGATATTTCGGACCCGTTAGAGGGCAGCGACTGGAGCTTGGAAGGGCTGCAGCTGCTGCTGAGGAGCCAACAGTATGGCCTGGAGCCCGCCAGCCTCTTGGATGTAAGTGTCAGGCCGTCTGTCGGGGTGGCTGCAGGGGGCGGTTGGAAGCTCACACCGGTGCCTTTGGGCTGCGAGTCAGACAGACTGCACTGCTTGTTCTTGGGTGGCACTTCAATACCTGCCTCGGTCAAGTCACAGCTGTTTTGACCTGCTCCTAAGAACCGGCAGGATTTCAGACTTTAAATGGTGCTTTTTAAAATTTCTTCTGAAAATATATGTATTGAACTTCTAGGACCACAAAGCACAGTGCATTTGCTTAAGACATTACCTCAAGACCTAGCACATTTATGTAAAATCATAGAATCATAGAATGGTTAGAGTTGGAAGGGACCTTAAAGATCATCTAGTTCCAACCCCCCTGCCATGGGCAGGGACACCTTGCACTAGACCAGGTTGCTCAAAGCCACATCCAGCCTGGCCTTGAAGACATCCAGGGATGGGGCATCCACAACATCTCTGGGCAACCTGTTCCAGTGCCTCACCACCCTCTCTGTGAAGAATTTCTTCCTGATATCTAAGCTAAACCTCCCTGATTTCAATTTGTACCCATTACCCCTTGTCCTATCACTACAGGCTCTTGTAAAAAGTCCTCTCCCAGCACTCGTGTAGGCCCCCTTCAGATACTGGAAAGCTGCAATGAGGTCTCCTCGGAGCCTGCTCTTCTCCAGGCTGAACAAGCCCAATTCTTGCAGCCTTTCATCATAGCAGAGGTGCTCCAGCCCTCTGATCATCTTCGTGGCCTCCTCGGGACTCGCTCCAAGTGGTCAATATCCTTCTGATGTTGGGGGCTCCACAGCTGGACGCAGCGCTCCAGGTGGGGTCTCACCAGAGCAGAGTAGAGGGGCAGAATCACCTCCCTCGACCTGCTGGCCACACTTCTCTGGATACAGCCCAGGATACGGTTGGCTGTCTGGGCTGCCAGCGCACACTGCCGGCTCATGTTCAGTTTTTCGTCCAGCAAAATAGGTTTCATACAACTCTCTAGTTAGTTTAGTAGTTGCTCTGTTCATTGGTCAGTTCATTTTCTGCATATTCTGCACCTTAGTTACTCCTAGATTGCATTTAGCTCAACTCTAGATTGCGTTTAGCTCTACTACCTCCCCCTTTTCCTCAGTTTCTGGGAAGTATAGCCAATGTCAAATTCTGTTTCTGCTGAGATACTTATCTGTCTGCAGTTCTCAGGTCACTTTTCTGTAGAAATGGATGGTGGCTTTTTTCTTAAATATATACACAGAAATATGAAGGTTTGTTCATTTCTCTCTTTCACTCTCTCTCTCCTTGTACATATTGTTAGTATATGAAAGGCTTTCACCAAAAATCAAATAACTCTGTACACAGCAGAGCCTATGTGTCAGAGATACTTATCTGTCTGCAGTTCTCAGGTCACTTTTCTGTAGAAATGGATGGTGGCTTTTTTCTTAAATATATACACAGAAATATGAAGGTTTGTTCATTTCTCTCTTTCACTCTCTCTCTCCTTGTACATATTGTTAGTATATGAAAGGCTTTCACCAAAAATCAAATAACTCTGTACACAGCAGAGCCTATGTGTCAGAGATACGCTCCCTTGCATATTGTTAGTATATGAAAGGCTTTTGCCGATAATCAAATAACTCCGTACACAGCAGAGCCTGTGTCAAAGATATGCTCCCTTGAGGAGCTGCTTCAGATACAGGCACGTGGTAAGCTTGCATGGATAAACAGGGATGAAAAATAATTTAAAAAATTAATTGTTTTCTCTTAAAGCCAGTTGCCAAGAGTCTGTGATTGGTTTTGGCTTTGCAGAAAGCTTTTCTAACGGCCTCCTCTGTCACTGACTCTGTTGGTTTATGTTTCTTATTTCTCATTCGGAGGTGTTTTCCTGTTACTGACACACTTTCCTCTCTCTGTGCAACTGAACGTCACAAGAGCGAGAATGAATCATAAAGCTGTGCCCCAGACCAACACCTCCTTTTCCCAGATTGCTCAGACTACACAAGAAACTGCCATCAGGGCATTGATGCAGCAGCAATCTGCCTTCTGCTACTGTGTTTTGGAATGCTTTAAAAAAAAAAAACAAAAAAAAAAAACAACTCAGCCTCCCGTTGCCACAAACCAACATGCCTGAGCCTTTGCCTGTAGCTTCAGTGAATATGCTGGAGCAGCTGAGGCACAGGCAGAAGCTGGTTTTGGCATCTCTGCCAGCAGCATGGCAGCTGACAGCCAAGGCAGGCACCAGAGGATATGCATCTTGAACATTACACCTTTCAGGGCCCTGATTGTATTTTTCTCTCAACAGGTCTTTAATCCCAATTTATCTTTGAGTGAGTGGAATTTGACTGAAATGGAAGCCAGTCTGTCCCCGGTAAGAGACGTCTATTTCTGAGATATGATGATAATAATAATGTAATTGTGAAACAGAGCTTGTGCCTAACTGAGGAATGCTTAGTTACTTTATAGCAGAGGGGGAAGTGTGGTAAAGCACAGTAAGGACGCATCTCCCGAGGGTAGGCTGAGCATGTTATCTTATGCTCTTCACCTGTCTTTCCCACTCAGCCAGAGCTTGTTTAGAGACGTGTTGGTGTCCTCGACTCCCTAACTGAAACTGTCTGCTCTAAACTTTCCCTTGGCCTGAATGTCACGTCTTACTAATACCACAGATTTATGAAGTGTCTTTGTGCCAAAGCTCTTAGTGAAATATGCCTTTGGGAAGTGCAGCCAACCCTGCACATTTCAGGAGCAGTGAAACCACATGCGATTAGAGCAGAGGTTTATGTAAACCCCTACAGAAGAAACAAGGAGAAATTGTTTGGCAGTATTTGTTTGGAACTGACATTGACACAGACCTTTCTGAAGTGCTTATGGTGATTTAATAAACAGTGAAGGAGACACGTGTTTTGTGGCTGGGTTCTTTTTCCTGCTTGATGGAGGGTGAATTTTCAGAGTCCTCACTGCCAGCCGGGTCGGATAAAGACTTGGATGCTTCTGCCAGCTCTACAGATGCGCAGGGCAAGTGTAATCTGTTCTAATGGAGTGCACAAGGTCTCTAAGCCTTCTGCATGATATTGCTATCCTTCTTCGGCTTTGATTTAATAGTTTTTAATCTACTAGGTAATTACACTTCCTGAGTGTTAGGAAGGATCATTTCTGAAGAGACAGATAATATTAGCAAGGCTTGGGAACGAGGGGGAGGTCTCTTAAAAAGGCTTGCACAAGAGAAATGGTCAAGAGGGAGGCTGCAGTGTTCAACAGTTCAGTCCTTGAGTCCACTGGACTTCCCAGCACGTGGTGAGCCTACCCTTAGGCTCACTCATCCTACAGAAAGGCATGAGCATAGAGAGGCCTGGAAGTAACACCTGCAGCAACTCAGTGTCTGGAAGTGCTGTGCAGGCAAAAGCTAGTTTTACTTTAAAGACAGTCATAGACAAATGGAAAGAAGATTCCTTTCCTATTTGTTGCTGGCTGCAGAGGACGATGGGTTTGCTTTGCATGGCAGCCAAGTGCAGGCAAAAGCTAGTTTTACTTTGAAGACAGTCATAGACAAATAGAAAGAAAATTCCTTTCCTATTTGTTGCTGACTGCAGAGGACGATGGGTTTCCTTTGCATGGCAGCCGGGAGGGACAGCCAGTGAGTGACACCAGTCTGGCCTCCTCATGTGACACGAGCTTCACTCCCTGTTAGCCGGTGCTAACGGGGGGTTACATCTGCCTTAGCCCTGAGGGACAGCCAGTGAGTGACACCAGCCTGGCATCCTTATGTGACACGAGCTTCACCCCCTGTTAGCCGGTGATAACACGGGGTTACATCTGCCTTAGCTCACTCCTTCAGGTGCATCTGCCCCTGAGCACGCGCTTTGGCTGTTCTGACGGAGGGCAGGCGAGGCTGGGAGGAGAGGCAGGGCAGGGAGCATGGCTTGCGTTACTGGTGGATGTTGTGCAGCATTGATGAAGCACAGATACTCAGAAACGGCCTAGTTCTAACAAGCTCCCCTGTCTTTGTATAATTGTACATTGTAGTTTATATTTTTGCATCAAGATGCAGCGACTCACAGTGGATGTGGAGAAGAATGCAACTGAGCTGTCCTCGAAGGTCTTCAACCCAGCGTTTAACAACGCCTGCCCAGGTAGGAGCCCTAGCAGCTCTTGCATGGGGACGTAAACATGTCAGCAGCGAGATGCAGCGTCCAGCACTGCCCATTTCCCACTTTGAGGGAACAGAGCACATTTGTTATTTTACTTTCACGACTGCCAGTCAGCAGCATTTCCACAACTGCTAGTTACTGTGCAGTGGGAAAAGTATGAGGGATAAACTAAGTTTTCAGTGTAACTGAACTACCTCTGTTTCTGCTTGAGTCCACACCACATCTATTTCTGTCTCTCTCATTTGCTCTGCCCATTCACTGCCACCGAAGAGCGATGTGGTGACCTAAGTGGGGAGGGTGCCAAGAGCTGTTCAGGTCCTGTGTTCCCTCTGGCTCCTGCTGGCTCCTACTGCAGAGGTGACCCAGGAGCCGCTGGCAGCCAGAGGCAAAGGTTATGTCTCTGTCCAGATCTTTTACCAGACCTCAAGGGAGCGGTCCAGCTGATCTTCTCCCCCTCTGACAAAGTGGGTCATTGACCTTAGATATGAACCCAGAATTGTTTTCCAGGTCTTGGCATAGAGGTACATTATTTTAATGTGTGTTCAGCTGGGGTAGACCTGAAAGCAAAGCTTTTGTGAACTTTAGTTTGGTGCTGTAGCCCCACCCGGGATTTTGAGGTATTGTGTGTCATCCAAGAGCTTCTGGTCTCCACCGTAGCTCAGCATCTTGCGTGAGCATCAGAGGCTGGTAAAAGCCCAGATACACTGAGGAGAATCCTGAAGCAGGCTGGAGCTGCACTGCTCAAGAGAAACATGCCCTGTTCGCAAAGCCTTTCTGGTCCCTGCAGTGGCGTGATGATGGCGTAATGAGGCAAATGAGACACGTGTCCTTGTGCAAAGATGAGGAAAACCAGACAGTTCTTGGGTGAAGGAGAAGAGAAGCTTCTTTTACCCAAATCTTGGTGTCTCCAGGCATTTGGTCATCCCTCTCTCACTTGTGACGCATCTCAGCCTTCAGGCAGAACCCAGCTTGGCAACCCCCAGAGATTCCCCTCAATTTTAATGGGCTTTTGAGTGAGTCCAAGTTTGACTCAAGTGTTTCCCAACACTTTTTTCATGGAGTGAGGCCCCTCACCTCCTCGTGCAGTGGGAATTTGTCACTTTTCAGTTCTTCATATGTAAAGGCTGGTAACTTGCCTTTCAGAAACTAAGTTTTCTGTGGCCTGTTTGCATTCCTAGGGAAGGATGTCATCCTTGAAAGCACCCAGCAGTTCCTCATTGATCGTCAGTCAATCTTTGGAAATGACCTCATCAGCTTGCCTGAAAGTTCATCGCTTTATGTTCCATCTGAAAATATGGCTTCCTACCTATCCTCTGTGGGTGTCCAAGGGGATATCCCGTTAAACCTGAGCTCTTCAACTGACAACAGCCAGTGATTTATCTTCCAGGAAATAACATCTCCCTCTCACCCATCCAAGCATCCACAGGTTTGAATGTAAAGAAACAAAAATGACTCAGAAACCCATGAGAAAGTTTGTTTTTGCACCCTTTCTTTTTGAGGAGACGAAAATGGCCAGTAGCTGTTGCATTATGCTCCCTGCACCTGGATTTCAGTGTTTGCCCAGGATAACAGTTTTAAAACAAGATAGTGCTTCTGGTGCTTGCTCCTGTGGGAAGTGAGAACTTGGCAGGATTTTTTTTTCTTGGAAATGCTTTTAGAAATCCCAAATCTTCTAATAAAGTTAAGTGAAGAGTAGCTTGAAAGTATATCAGGGACTTCATAAAATAAAGTGATCTTGACTGTGTCTGCAACGGCAAACTGTTGGGTTTTACTGGGGCAGCACAGATTAGTAACGATGCCTGATCCTTCCAGATGCTGTTTTTTAAATAGGAAAAGAGTCCTGTATGCCGGTCCAATGCTCTAAAAATATTCTTTTATCCGTTTTCTGGTTTTGGTGAGATGTATTTGTGCCTCTCATCCTCCTAGGGTGAGTAGAAAACTGATGATCTCTCAGGGTGTGCAGAAGATCATTTCCTGAGTGACCACTCCAAGAATGTGTCTCTGGCTCCTAGGGGAGCCACAGGCCATCACAGACCCCAGAGCAACCTGTGCTGACTTTGGGGGGGTTAGTTGTTTGGGATTTTTTTCTCCCCCAGATTAATTTTCCTTGACATAAAGGCAGGGCACCCCATACTTAAAAAAAAAAAATAAAACGGATAGACTTGTGCACACATCATTTTCCATGTGCAAAGAGGACCGAGGGAGTGAGCTCCAGGTTTTGGTGCTGGCTAAGTATTCCATGTCCAGTCCAATGGTTTATATTTTTCCCTTGGCCTTGACCTACTTCCCCTGAAGATGTGCCTGTTGGTTGATTGATGTATAAAAACTGATGAGCCAGTTTAATTGATTGGATCCCCTTTTTAGAAGGACTCTCAGTTGCTCAGCATAGGAGAGAGGCAGAAGTGTTCATCCACCACATCCCACCAACTTTTCTCTGTCCTGTGTTCATCTGAGACCAGCCTCCAAAGGTTGAATTAATCTTCCTCTTCTGTGTGGTTTCTGACAACTGAGTTTCTTGACAAAGCAGAGCTTTGTTTTTTATGCTGTAGTTCTAATGAGAACGTATTATTTATCTCGGTATCCTCTAATTGAGTTGCTTTTCCTTAGGGAAGCTACTCAAATGCAGCAAGGCAGACGCAGGAAATTCAGGTCACTCAGGCCTCCCAAGGGCTGGGACAGGGAGGTGTAAGCTGTGCCAGTGTCATTTGAAAAAATGCTCTGCCCGCTTTCCCTGCCATGACAATTCTTGGTCCCAAACCATTTTCTGAGCATGTTGAATGGTCAAGCACCACCCCAAAATGTAGTCAGTCACTCAGATGAATGCAGGCTCCAGTTCTCCGTAATGAGCATATTTTAAATGGCCCTTCCTGTGACAGCCCTTTCCCTTCTCTGTTTACCAGCATGTGAGCAGATGTCTTAGTCCAGAAACATCCACTAAGCACATTTTCCCCCAGCTAATTACGGTGTGCTGGGAGCCCTGTCACCACCATGCTAGTGCAGTCTCTGCAGGAGCGAGGTTGTGAGAGCTTCTGAATTAATGCCAGCCAGGGTTTTCATGTTCGGCACTAAGGCAAAATTCTGGCAGCCCTCATTGTCCTGGTATTTAGATGATGTGCTGGAGTGTATCACAGACAAGGTTTTCCTTTTTGACAGATTTGTGCTTAGAAAGTTCACCGAGATCAGCCCATCTGCTGCTGTATTTTGTCCTTTTAGAGGCTTAGATTAGATATCAGGAAGAAATTCTTCACGGAGAGGGTGGTGAGGCACTGGAACAGGTTGCCCAGAGAAGCTGTGGATGCCCCATCCCTGGATGTCTTCAAGGCCAGGCTGGATGTGGCTTTGAGCAACCTGGTCTAGTGCAAGGTGTCCCTGCCCATGGCAGGGGGGGTGGAACTAGATGATCTTTAAGGTCCCTTCCAACCCTAACCATTCTATGATTCTATGATTCTGTGATTTTCAGCGATGAAAAGTCGTTGAGTGGCACCCTATTTACTTCTTTTCTCACTGAAGCTGCCTGGTGTCTCCAGTCACCCGGCATGTGACCCTTGCTCAGGATTTACATCCTGCTCTGAACGCATGCGAGATTGCCTTGATGTTAGCACCGAACGTATTGACTCAATAAGGTATTTAAGCACATGCTTAATGTCAAGCTCCAGAGTAGTTTCCCCTTGTTTTGATGAAGCCTATCCCATGCTTGAGGTTAGGCACCTGCTTCAGTGTCTTACTGCTCTGTCTAGCTGGGGTTGAGAAAAGAACCGTCGGAGAGTTACCTGCAAGGAGACAAAGGTGCGGCTCAGCTAACGGGGTGCCTGGCACCATGGCGGGCTGCAGCATTTTCATCGTGCCTGGCCACAGACCGCACTGCCTGTGAGCAGCCCTCGGGATGGTTTTTGGGTTTTTTCTTTACGCTTTTTGCTCTACTATAAACACGAAGTTGGAGCTTGGTGAGAGAGGGACCTTCCGGAGCAGTGTTGGAGAGTCACTCCTGTGAAGAAGCAAGCTGGTGTTCCTTGTGTTTTTACATTGTTAATTTTACTTGAAGGTGACGTGCTGAGACTGCGGTTTTGCACTCTGCTGTACATTTGTAAAGTTTTACAGAAAACACTAATTAAATATATTTCCTTTTTCTCATTTAGTCCTGCTCTGGCATTTCTCTCACTACTTTCACCTACCCCTTACTCCTTCCCTCCTTCCCAAGTCCTCACTGAGAAGTGAAGGCAGCTTCCAGGGACTCAGGAGATAGATACACCCGGGAGGGAACGGAAGGCCTACTGACGGGCCTACTGACGGGCTGTGACCATCTGAGGGAAAAAATGGGAGCTGGAGGGGTCTAGCGTGTGAAAAAGTAAACACAGCTCAGAGAGCAGCTGAATTCCCCAAACCAAAACACGGGGGGAGGTGGGTGTTAGCTGGTAAAACCAGGATCGGAGTAAAAGGAAGATTCCTGTGAAAATGCTTTCAGACAGGCCTGTTCTCCACAGGCTCTCGCTCATCCTCCTGCCCTACTCTGGGGACTGCGGATTTTACCGTATGTTTTTACTCATGGACGGTGGAAAATGTCTGAAATTCAGAGCAATTGTGTTGTCTTCCCTGAGGGCTTTTACGATCGGTTTGTATTACAGACAGTTCTGGTGCAGACCAGTTCTTTTACCACAAGATGGCGCCTCAGCCCAGCCAGTGGGAAATAAATCGTCTCAACAACCCCATGGTAGTATTTTTTTCTTCAAATGTGCACATCTGTAAGACCTGTTCAACTCTCTATATTACAAATTATTAGAGATTTATTAGGCAGATGAAAAAAGACATCCACATAAACTTGGGCATGGCTTAATGAAGCGAGGTCACTTAAAGCCTGGCTGATCCCTGATGCTGTGATTGTTTGTTAGATCACAAACCCCACACCAGCCCTTGAAGATGAGGCCAACTCTCATAGGTCGTGCTTAAGCAGTGTACAGTTATTTTTGTAACTGAGTAGCACAGCCGCTGCTGAAGCCGCTAATGCCTCGGCAGAGCTGGCCAAGAGTTGTCCATTTCCCCCAGCTCTCTGCGGTATCACCGAGGAAGCACTGCTCTCGGGCAGGCTCCACTCCCTTGAATTTTATTCTCTAGCTCAGAAGGGGAAAAAAATGGGGGGTAAGGGAAGAAGAGAGAAGCTGGCTGAGGCAGCACTGGTGCTCTCTGCCGTTTCACTTTGGCACAAGACTACCACCGTGACGTAAGAGAGAGGCTACCGAAAGAAGAATTCCCTTGGTCGTCTTTTTACACCAAAGCTGTCTTTCTACCACTTCTAACTGCCTGGTTATTTTTCTGTTACATTTGAAATCCAGATCCTGAGACACATCTCAAAATGAAAAATGATGAAATCAGTAGATGCTGTATATGCTTCATTATGTATTGCGCGACAAGGTAAAACCAGATTTTTCCATGCATTGACACTATTTCTGCATCTCTTCTTGCATAAATAATTCTAATTTCTGTGAATATTAGATCTATAGAGTATGTAGTTAAGAAGCAACCTCTATTTGTCACTGAAGTCCACCTCGTGTGACATATCCTGGTAAAGTATGATACTAGTTAAAAATACGAGTAGAATATTTATTTAGTTCAAATGACAAAACCATGTTACATTATGGATTGAAACCCTAAAATACAAACATTTCACTAGGTTATTTCTAGAAGGATGCAAGGAGAAAAAAAATGACATTAGAGAGTGGAGTTTAACCTTAAGACAGCAGTACCCACATTTTCAAAGCAGGGAACACTCCCTGCTGCCCTGAAGAGCTTGGAGCCGAGGGGTCTCCAGCAGCTTTGGCAGTGGGAACACAAGGCACATCTTATCTGTGGGTTACAGAGGATTATGGGCTTTTTTTCAAGCTGACACGACCAAAAGCTCTGCCATGAAGGTTGGACGCTGGAGGCCGCAGCAGCCTCCAACTGACTGAAGCACTAAGTCCTCCTGTTGAAGGTGGCAATTTTTTATACCACAGTAAGGGATATGTCAGTTTTCCCTAATGGTCCCATTGCCAAGCTCTGCATTCCGAGAAAAACTGCGTGTATCAGGCAGGCACTGTGTGCCAGGTTTGGTCTGGGTCTTTCAATGTGATTCATTTCATCCACTCTCGCTGTCCTTGTCATCTTGTGGTTGGTGAGGACATCCTTCACCCTCAGCCAGGCACTGTACCTCTCCATCGCTGCCCCTCCCTGTTAATGCATGAAGGCAAAAGGCAAATGAAACTCACTGATGAAAATCCTTAATGCTGGAAAGAGAAATATAGAGCCTTATTTTTTAAAACTATTTAAATAAAACTCATCAAGAACTTCTTTGGAGAAAAAAACATTTTAATTCCTAGTTTATTTGGATTCCCCCATAAATAAAAGGAAGAGGTGAATGCTAACTAACTGTGGATTTAAAATTTTCCTACAAGAGCTGAACAAAACCTTACTTTTAGCGTGCATGTGCCACCCACCTTTTTCTCTGTTGTGATTAATTATGTCACTATAATCTTACCAGGGAAAGTAACTGTCGTCTTACTGTCCCCTTCCCATGGGCTTGGGCCATCTGCTCGACTGCAGACTGGTGACAACAGTAGATTATCACTGGGTTCAGTGATAACCTCTTGTATCAAGGGTTTCGAGGGGCTTGCTTGTTTATCTTTAGTCTCCAGGTATCTCTCAGAATAAGCAGGCTCTGTAAACAAGCTTTCAACAAGGCGCTCCTTTTCATCCTCTTTATGTATCTTACACACATTTGAAAAAATTGCCATTGGTACATCTCCTACTGAATTCCCAAACATGCTTTTATTGGTTTCCTCTAATGCAGAATCGCTGTCATTTGTCATTTCAGAAATTATTTCAATCTTTGGGTGATACTCCTGCTGTAAAGGTAGAAAATGTAATTGAAAATGTATTACTCTAGATGTAAAGATGGGTAAACATCTCTTGGATCCCTGTTAACAGCTGTCAGCTTTGATGTGCTGTTATCCCAAAATGTATGGAACATGTGCTTCATACCCACAGCGCTGCTTCTTGGGGGATGAATCTTGGGTTAACTACTTCATGGGAATTAGCAATGAACCGACCATAAATGATTAAGAGATAATAAAAAGTGGACCTATTTTGGCAATTGAGCGAAGTGCGGACTCAGTTCATTGCCTCCAACAGAGGGACCTGACTAACATCTTCATCTGGCTTCAGTTAACAACTGAACACCCTTTGGAGCGTGAGGGCTGCTAACACACACTCCTTCAATAATCCTCTTTATTCCCTTCCCTTATCTGTTTTTACTTGGAGGCTTTGTTGGCCAAGACATTTTGCAACACTCTTACAAGTCTGTGACCAAAAGAGCAAATAAATTCCATGCCCTACACGGACTGTAGGAAACATTTGTGTTATCGTGGAGTGGCTTGAAAAAACCTGTACTGTGTCAGCCTCTGTCTGCAGCAAGGCAAGTTTGAGTGGATGTCTGCACGAGAATCAAAGCTGGGCTTTTCATCTTTGTGCTTCTCTTTCACTTTTTTCTCTTCTGTTTACAGGCTTTTGCCTAGAAGATTGGTTCGAGCACAGCCCAACACTCGTGTGGTCATGAACTGCCTCGTATCTGACTAGCCCCAAGTGGAGCACAGGAGTTTCAATCTCTGTGTTTTCACTTGAGAAGTCGGATGTTACTCAGTAGTAGGTGATTTGTACTATCCATTCAGTCCTTTGCAGCATATTACTACTGGTAAAGTATATTTTTAACGTAATCTTCACTAAAACACTACAGGATACTAAGAAATTAATCTTATTTAACTGTTGTTTAATTTGATCTTAGGTTTTCATTCTCCTCTTTGCAACACTATAATAAAAAACAATTTAAAAAAAAGATTTACAAGTGGCTAGAGAAGATGTGCTGAAACACGCATTTCAGTTTATAAAGGCATAACTCATTGCATTTCTAAACCAGCATTTCCCAGCTTGGATTATCCTAATTTTGCAAAACATTTGTAAATGTGTTTAGGGAAGCTTCATCACTAGAATTAGTAAGGAGCTTACCTTTTGAGCAAAGATCTCCTCTTCTGGGGGAAATTCATTTACATCTATATCTTCTAAATCAGGCAGCTCCTGAGGACAATCGCGAGATCATTAATCAGTGGGAAAAGCTATTTTAACTAATAAAATACAGCATCTCTCATTGGGAACCTTCTCCAAAGCAATGCTTTTCAGGGTAGGAGGCCACAGCCAGGAGCACGGCACTGCCATCCTCTCAGAGGTGACAGTTTCCACTGTTCAGCACGTGGGAAAAGGAAAACTCCTGTCTCCAGAAACAGCAGATGGAAGGCAAAGACCTTAATGTCAGCCTGAGTGCTATTTTCTACTATGCTGTGTGATTATGAAGGAAAAAAGGATAAACAGCAAGGCATTAACAGGATTTTAAAAGCAAACGTGGTTTATGTCTGTTAGCTGTTTCTTATCTAGTCAACAGACTTCATCCCAACTGCACCCCGCCTCTATGGGTAAGAGTGGAATTGAGATCTACAGTCCACCAGAAACTCTCTAATCAACCAGTGTTTTACTGTGAATGCCTCATAAGTAAGGATACGAAACTGCAGAATTGCTGAGAACTATTTTTCCTCAGACAGGTCCAATCATTTCAGCTTTCCTTTAGAAAAGATTATCTAAGACAACTGTCACTTGCTGATGTGAAAGCAAAAACAGTGTGTGGGAATACAAAATCACGGGTAGAAAGCAATACCTTTTTGCCATTTTTTTAGTGTAGGTCAATACTGGTAAAAACATCTCCTTTTGGGTTTAGATGTTTTCAGAGTTTAATGATTTTGTTGCAAGCAGCTTGGCATGGTAGCACCAGGACTGTCTAATCTGTGCTGTCTTGTGTGGTGAAGATTATTACAGAATTAAAATCAATAAAAGAAATTTATTTTTCCTGATACGGGTCTAGCTAATACAGCATGTCCTGAAGTCACACAGCTTTATAAGAATTGCGTCAAAAATGTACAAATTAAGATTGGAGGCTGACATTAGTAGGTGGAATTATCACCAATACTGAAGTGAAATAGCTGTTAGTCTTGTTCCAAACAGCAGGTGTGTTTGCAGCTCAAACCAAAATCGCTTACTAAAAGTTATCCTGGTTTAGGGATACAGAATTATTTCAAGGCATATGCAACAAGGCATATGCAACAACATGGGCTTGTTTCTGCTTGACAGAGGGATGTCATAACCACCGCATTACAAATCCTCCTCCACTCTTCTCCCTTATATTACTACTGAGACCATCTACCGACTCCAGGATGTGAGTAACGATAACGGTGCTGCTGCGGAGCTTCTCACCCCTGGTATCTTCACAGCCATTCCCTGCAATGTCAGTGCTAAGTGTCTCTGGAAAAGCTGCCATAGCGTAAGTATTGGAGGTTGCTGTGAGAAGCTCTTTCCATTGCTAAACGTCATTTGGAGAACGAAGTAGCATAGACCACTGAAATGTGTATTTCTACGTGAGTGAGGTTTGGTTTTTCTTCAGTAGAATTAGAATAGCCACACTTTTTATGGGTCAAAAGAAACCCCATGCTGAAGAATTCCTTTTATACTACGTTGAAGTTTGAAGGAGTGTGCTATGGTGCCATATAGCACCAGGGGGAAAAAAACACTGAATCTAGGAGATCTTCCCATTGTGGGTACCTATGGTATCACTTTTTATTTGGAGTGTTTATTTCAGACTCTCCAAGATCTGCTGATAAAAATAATACTGTATATATTTGGAATTACTGCCAGTTATCTCCACTATCCTTCCTAAACCTATTATTAAAAACAGCCAAATGGGAGGATGCAGCAGGAAGTGCTCTACTGAAGCAGTGAGTTGAGCCCTTCGATAACAGGATGGAAATTTTTTCCTGGGAAGTTAAGAGCATGGAAAAGATATAAGAGACTTTTGTGAAACCTTCCAGTAAGAATTCAGTTAACAGTGGCAGTATGAGGGATCAAAGAGTGTATTAGGTGTTCTGGGAAATCATAAACTCTGAAGTTTATTGCTAGCTGTGTCACAACTGTCAGTTTAGCAGCAGTGTCAAATTAGGACATATTGAATAGTTCTCCTTTGCAATGAGATTGTATTTTTCAGCGGTATCCATGTTTCAGTGGTATCCATGTCCTCCTAGTGGTTAAATGTAGTTAAACATGTTTAAAAGTTCGCAGCATCAGATAGAAGTCTTAGATAATAGAAGACCGTATTACAAACGTCAATCGCTTATTATATACTTAATTAATGCACATTCTGCTTTTCATACATAAAAGTTGTGTTTTAAGAATTTCTAATACTGATAGCTAACACTCACAATGAGTGGGTGGCTATTTCTTCCTTATGGTTTCCCTGCAATAGTTCACATTTTCAACTCCATATTTTGAGTTATGCCTAAGAGGACGCATGTATCCACTAGATTCTTTTCGTTGTGATTTCTGGTTTTGAAATGAGAGCCCTCATTAACCTCTCCAGAGAAATCACGGAGACAGAAGGTCAGCTTCAGGTGATTTATGGCCAAAAGTCAAAACAAACTTTGGAAGTGGTGGTAAATTCTTTTCCCTTGCTACACTGGAGACAATGAATACCCCTACAATTTTACTGTGGGTTTTTTTTCCTTCTGTCCTTTTATTTTTTCCAGCAGTAGACCTTGCTTAGAAATCTGACCATATAGTTTTATTAGCCAGGATGTTACAAGAATTAACTTGGGGGCAGACAATACCCAAATCTGAACTTCATAAAATCTGAATCCAATACATACATCAAGATAAAGTTTCTCTGGTGTCTCCAGTTTGCCCTGTTCAATTTCAGCATATTCATCCAGTTCAGGAAGCATGGCTTTTTCGGGAGCTGCCTTCTCCCCTGGTAGACCTAAAGAAAACCCAATAGTCAGTTGCAGAGAACTAGCTGAATAAAAGACTTTGTATATTGCATCATCAAGCACTGCAATACCAGACTGCTGGGGGCCTGACTACCATTGCAGAATTCCCAGCTGAATCCTGCACTTTGTCTCTCCATCATGTTCTTGGTCTCTCTTATATTGTATAAATTAATATTTTCATTTTGCAATAGTGTAATTTACAAAACCATTCTTCCATGTGTGAAGGCACAAAACCACCTGCAGACTGAGGTCCAGCTTCTGCTGGCAGACAGGCCGCAGTTTATGCGGGAGCAAGGGAAGCCTGTAAGCTCTCCTGTTGCTGCACCTAGCACATATGAGAAGTGGAATTCCACCTTTATGTAGCACAAGTTGGAGGTTGAGCCTTCAGATTTTTGTTTGTTGTATTTAAAGAATATTTTATCCAGTATTACTTGATTTTCAACTAGTCACTGTGGAAATCTAATGGGATGTTCTTATCTATGAATCAGTTGGTTTGAGCCATGGCAGAAGCAGTGCTACACTAAGACAGAGTTTGGCTTATTGTCTCTGCATCCTCAGTTTGGTCTGATTCTTCACTGTGGACATTACCGTTTGTCTCCGTGTTGAAGTTCGAGCATTTGTAAGAGTTTGATTCTTGTGCATCCTCTTGAATTCTAGCAGGAATATTTCCAGATGTGAAATCTGTGTTATTTCCCCTATTTGGTAGAAGTGTCATCACTTCATCACGAGCATCAAAACTTTTATTTTGAAATTTCTCAGTCTTCTCTTGAGTTTCTTCCTGTTCTGATATATTTGAAGCCTCTGATGTATTAGAATTCCCACCACTGACATCTGAATTTGCAAGTGCTCCTACAGAAGAAACAAGATCATTAAAACTGCTGAGTTAATCTATCATTACCCATTCTAAATACCCAGACTTTACTACATGGTTTTAATAGTCTGGCCTAAAATATGCATCAAAAGCTCCTACTTTGAGCAGCTATTTGTGGATCAGTAGTCCTCTCAAGATTGCAGCAATGTAGTGGGTTTTCCCATCTCAATTTCCCTGCAAAAAATCTTATTTAGAGAAAACACTGTAGTAAATAATTATCTGGTATCTATTGTTAACTTTGAAAAGACTCACAACTGACTACCTATTTAAATATCTGCTTGAGTATTTTGAGGGATTGATGACAAATGTTGAAGTTATGCTCTCCTTTATGCAATCTACCTGCTTGCACAAGAAGTTTTACTTGTTAGTCAGACACGTTTGATTTTAAAGCCTACGAAATCCAAAATGTATCAGATGACCGATAAACACTCCCCTGCACTGTAGTATTGCCTTCTTATTTGGCTTTGGTCCCATGAAACACACACATTTCTCTAGAAAGGTTAGGTTGGGACCTATTACTGGTGGTAAATGCATGCCTCCTTGAATGGTGTGACAGCAGAATTTGTGACATAAAAAAAGGGCAGTAAGTGAAGCCAACCATTGAAGACCTTCCTCTTCCTGCCTGCTTTACCACTGCTGCAGGCTGAAGGTGTTACTCTTGGTGAATGCAGCAGTGAGAGGTGCCTGGATGTGGGCTGGTGAAGCAGTTATCGCTGGGTCTTACTGGGGCCCACATGCCTCATCAAGCCAGATCTGTTCTGCATCCTGGGGGAATACTGCTCCTGGGGTGCTATTGCCTGCCTACACCCACGGATGCCTGCGGGAACCATTATTGCCCTGACTAGTACCTAGTTGCTCTGGTGAGGAGCTCAAGAGCTTGAAATATGGGAATAGAAAGTGGTTTGTTGTTTTTTATTTCATGAGCAGGGAGAAAGGTGATGATTGCTTAAAATCATTCTGGTTAATCAAAGATGCACCAAGATTAATAAAGTATTTAGTATGGGGAAAGAAGATTCATAAATATCTTCCAAAAATGGCATCAGCCTGCTTCTGAACATTTAGGAACTAATTGATTTTAATTTTATTTGATTTCATTGATTTTAAACAAATTGAAGCAGACACAGGCACCTTCCAAAGAAGCAAGCACAAACCTTCTAGGATGTCTGTTGCACTTCCACTTCCACCTCTTTCTTCCATATACTTTTGAGTTTTCTTTTCATCTGCTTTTTGCCTGATTGCTGCTAAAGCATCGATGCTATCTTGGACTTTTTTTCTCTCTCTGGTTTCCCATTTTTCCCTTTCTGCTTTCTCAGCTTCACGCCCTCCAACAGCCCAGGCTTCTGCACAGGCTCTAATGAAAACACAAAAGCTCACTGTAATACAGCCTTAAAAGCCCATCTTTATAATGAAAGAGAAATTTAAAATCGCTTGCAACAGCATAAAATAGCTGCAAGAGGAAAAAAAAACCCCATGCAGCAATGGAATGCATGTGAAATCTTATCTTGCACGTGGAACTGCAGCAAAAGAAACAAAGATATCCAAATGCTGGTGATTACACCACCAGAGATCCATCAGGAGTGCTGATCTTGGCTCTGCTTTTCCAGACACTTGTTCAGTTTCTGTTGAAATCAGGATTTGTCTCTGGTCCGTTGGTGTAAAACAATTCTGTTCAAGAATTAATTCTCTTGTGAAAAAAATAGATGGTCTTTTTCTAGCTATGCTAGATGTAGAACTCTGTAGTAGAATACCATTGCACTCCAAGTCACCCACCCTCAATAAATTATACTGGTCAGTCTTCCTTTCCTTCTATGACAATACTGACAAAAATGGATGAGTGAAGATGTGTCTGTTTCTTACCTATCCTTTGGGAAAACTGGTCTGTCATCCAGATATGTTAGTTGTTTTAGTCGAACAATCAGTGTTTTTCTATAATTAGCAATTTTCCTTATCACTTGGTTTCCCATCAAATTCAGCACATGCTAGAGAAACAAGGGAAACCATTTTTTCAGTTGAGTAGCAAAAAAAACCAACCTGGAGATGCACTTTCCCTATCATTTAAAAAACAATAAGTGAATAAAACATCCTGGGTGTTACAGGTAATCCACAAAAAACCAAATAATCTTTACAGCATTTCTTTTAGGCAAATGCCTATTGTGCACTGGACTACCCAAAAAAAAAGCATTTAATGGCATTCACCCATATATTTGACACAAATCCTTGGCTATATTTGACTTACCAAATGAGGCATGGTCTCCAGAACAGCTATGATATTTGGATCACTTAGATTGTTGTGGGAAAGATCGAGAACAGAAATACTTGGACATTCTTGCAAGTGCTGTATGTCTTCAACTGTTTGTAACTTATTGTGAGCAATCTGCAGTGTCTGCAGGACTTTGAGACAAGCTGTCAGACATGAAAGGAAAGGTGAGAGTCATTGCCTCAGTGAGGACTTTGTGGAGCAAGAAGAAAACTGCTTTGTCAAAGTAATTGTTTCTATTGAATTTTGGGAAGCTTTTTTCTGAATTTGCTCTTCTTCTATATGCACTTTGTGGCTATGCCTCCAAAGCTGCTTTCTTCACCCTAGGAAAATGAGTTGTTTGGTTTTAGGATGGTGGTTGTTGTTAATTTGTTTCAAACTAGTCAGTTGCAGAAAAGCAAGAGTTTGTGTTTCAGATGACTTCCAATGTACACAAATGATGGCATAGAGGAATTCTTCTTTATTTTCTGCTAAAGATGGAATAAATTCTTTAACAGACATAGAAGATTTGGTAATCATGCCTGCAACTGCCAAAGCACAACACAGCCATAAAGTAAGTGGTGAAAAATAGATTGTCAGCCTGTCTTCAACACAAACAAGTACTCAGTTTTAAGAAGTGAGGAAAAGCTACTGATTTGTCCTAGGTATCCATGTGAAAGTAATTACTATGCCTTTTCTGTTTTCTCATCTATTTAAACTGCAAAATACATCGGTTTGACTCTTCCATAGAAGCCTGGTAGACTGCGGTATGAGCTACTATGCAAAATTCTAACATGAATAAAACCCCCTTGAAACCAGTGCCACTAATAATAGCTTAGCTTAGTCAAAGCTTAGGAATATGGGCTCCTTGTAAGTTAAAACGTGCAGCACCAACAGTTCTTACAGAGATTCTCGATGGTCTTAACGTAGTTGTTACTGATATTGAGGGAATCCAGCTTTTGTAAGGGTTCAAGGTTTTCAATCTTGTTAATTAAATTGAGTTGCAAGTAAAGGCAACGCAACTCTGTCAGAGCCTCCAAATTCTCTATTTTTGTTAAGCCATTGCATTCCAGCCATAAACACTTCAATCCAGTATACTCTTCAAGATTCTCCAGGCGGTCAAATCCTGTGGAAAAAAGATGTTTTAAAATGAAATTGCATGGGCTGGAAACAAGTCTTTGGAAAAGTAAATTTCATTCTGCCAGCACTGCTGAAACAGCCTGTGAGCACATTTGTACTCAAGCTGCTGCCAGTATTTCCACTGAATTAATGGTACAGTACCTGGCCCATAAAGGGCAAAAACGTATAGGTACCTATTCAGGTCTATAGCTTGTGCAGCCCTTTAGATGCTCAAATAATGCATACGGAGAAAAAAGCAAAAGCAAGACCAAATGTAGAAGGTAGATTTAGCATGTCCTATTTATTTAAAACAATTCTTATGCTAACCTGGACCAGCTAACCATATCATGCAAAAACCTGCTCAACGATCACAAGAGGATGATTCACGTTCATTCTTCTTTTTCTTTCAGTAGTATTTGAGAACATGCAGCAAGTCTTTACTGTTCCTTCTCTTCCTGAACACTTCTATTTGGCAGTAAAAAAGTCCCCAAAGCTGGATAACAGTTTCTTTATACAAACACATTCAAGAAATACATGTCTTTTCCTCTGAATGCAGACCAGTATTTTAAGATATTTCTCTGAGTCTACTGGGTTTTTTGGGGGGTGTGGGTGGTGTTCCTTAATTCCTATTAATCCTTTGAACAGCTCCACAAACTGAATTAGGTCTATAATCAGTTCACTTTTCTACCCTCACACTGACTTGTTTTGTTTTACAATTTCATTATATAGAATTAAATTATGTTTCTAATTTTAAAAAGTTACTAGGTACCTTATTTCAGTGAGACATAAAATAGATTATCTGTTAAAATGCTACTTAGAATGATGAATCTAAACAGTCATGTCCACATCTTACCTTTATAATGCAAGTAAAGCGTATCATTTAAGTATGGGGTCATGTATAATTTCTGCTGTTTACAGATGTCTTGCAGAATCTTTTTTGTCATTCTAAAATAATAATGGGAAGCAGATGCAAAAACAAACAAAAAAATTATTTCAGTGCACATTCTGAAATTTTGAGGTTTTTAACCAATTTCAATGCAACACAATTAATAGTTCTTTCATGTCAGAGAAATGGCTACAGCTTTCAAGACTATACTCAAAAAAGCAGTAGGATTTTAGAGTGGCTTTCCATTTCTACCTGTCTGAAGTGTGTTACCAGGCTCTTCCTAATTCTGCTAAAAAGCACAGAGGAAGTAGGAAAGGAGGGAGGGAATCAACCTAACATTTTAATGAAATGCTAACTGAAGTACCACTCACGACAGTTTTAATATATCACTGTGAGTGACTAGGAATGCTGCAGTAAGAAAACGAGTAATACGTGTTCAATGGTGGTTGCTTAATGTTCAGCTCCACTCCTTTTGGGATTTATGCAAGCAAGAAGCAAGAGAAGGCTACTGAGGGAAGCTGTGGGCTGCAGCTTAATACTGCCGGGGCAGAGGACTCTCAAGAGGCGTTGGGCAGAAAGCTACAGTGCAAAACTGCAGAGGCTGCAAGGCAAAACACTTGGGCTGGAAGCCGACAGCAGCCAGACAGGGCCAAGGCTGCACACAGCAGCAGTCAGCAGGGCGCCAAAACCCCAACGTGGTGTATGAGGACAAGGGTGGCCTGAAAACTGTTCAAACAGAAACAGACTGCAGTGAAAAGCAGCGGATGGAATGAGTCACGCCACTATCTGGGACCCTGTTCTAGACAGCACTGGATCAACAGTTTCATGGAAGTGGTAGTTCCCAAGCAGGGACTTTGCAAAGAATGACAGGACACTGGTTTTGGAGGCAAGGTGTCCTACATCAAATTAACAGCATAAACAAGAATCTTGGGAACCCATTAGGAAAACACCTACAAAAACATTCCATGGCAGAAAATATCTATATCTTCCTGTTTAGAAAATTAGATTCTGTAAAACAACATCCCAAATTAAACTCCTGGTAGATACTTCTTACTTAAAGAATTATTGCAGAAGTACAATGTTAAATGGTCCAAAATTATTTTGTATTTCTAAATTCCATGTTAACAAATTGAACTTTGCATTTGTCGTCCTAAGTATTCATAGGACTTAAACCTGTAACAGTAAGATTTTCTTGGCAGGAGGGTATTTTCAAAATAGCAAAAAACTTGACTAAAGGCAGTGAAGTTAAACCTTACATAATGAATTTGCTTTCAGAATTATTTACTTGCTACCCTAAATATCCTAATATTCGTGAAGAACAAAACTGTAATACAGTCACTAATCAATGGAGTTCCTGGGGCAATATAAACAAGGATTGTCCACCTGTATCTGCTCTATAAGCCAAACGTGCCTGGCATAAATCTCCGGAGGAACCGAAGATATATAAACTTGGAGCAAAATCTTTAAATATATACTGTTTTCTTGTACTTTCAGCCCAGGTACATTATCATATGCTAGCTACTTGCAGTGTATCCCACTGTTTGTCACTGTGCTAATTGTAGCAGTCAATCGAATTATTAGCATCCTCAGGAAATTTATAGGATCATAAAGTACATTCCTTCAACACACTAATTAACCTATGTGAAATTGTTGCTCTCTGGTGTCATTCTTCATAAGAACTTAATTCTGGAGTCTGCCGGGCTAATTAGCCCAGGAAAATGAAATTTTCTAAGTAAGTTCGGTACAATCTACCTCCTGATAGCTCAGAGTCTTGCCATTGACTTTAAAGGGCTGTAACAGTCTCTAAGAGAACAGCTGTGTTCAAGTTAGCACCTGTAACAGTCTCTAAGAGAACAGCTGTGTTCAAGTTAGCAGTGACATAAGCTTTGGGAAGTTTCACCAACATGTAAGCAGGTAGAGGAACGGAGAGTAAATCTTTATTGTTCCTTGTATATCATCCCATAACTAGCCCACGTGACCAGACTTTCAACAATGTTAGTAAATAGTACCAAATATGGGTTTTAATTTTATTATTTGCTTGCAAAGTGCTTAATCAGAAATAACATGAGAATAATCCCATTTCACAGGTATTAATAAACAGCCGTCACAGTGTATGCTGGCTTAGGCTGAACCAAAAGTAGAGCCAGAGTTTACAAAGGAGTTGTATTTTATTGTTAACCTGAGGTACTGCTGGATTTCCTGTGCTAAAAATTATCTTGGCAACTGTAATATTCACATTATGATGAATTAAGACAATGCGTTGTCTGAATTGATGCTGAGAAATGGTCAATCTACTGACAAATGACTCCCAAAACAGTTTGCACAATGTTCTCCAGGTTCATTACACAGACTACATCATGTAGCTAGAATGTGGCTTGCTACTGTGGCCATAAAAGCTGTACAGGTGCTGGAAATATCACCGATTCCCGATTTATCAATTATTCGCAAGTTCATCTTCAAAACTGTTCTCCTGAATTAAGATTGACAAGTAGAATAGCAAAACTGCTATTGACTTCAATGATGCCAAGATGTAAATGAAAGCCATCCACACTGTATTACCTTACACAGCCCCTCTTTTCTTCTGTCCTTGGATTGAGTGAGCTGGTTACCGATTTCTGTTCATTCTGCTGATCTGCTCTGGACATACAGCTGATGGCGTTCTCTTCAGTTTTAACATCTTTGTAAGAAAACAAGTTGCAGTTTAACATCATGGGTGGGGAAAAAGTGTCACGTTGCCAGCTATTCTAGAGAAATATTGAGGAGCGCTTGAATATGAATTTCAAGAAAAGAAATGTTCTAACCAAGATTTTTTGCTGACATTTTTAATGAAAGGAAACAACGTTTTTAGAAGGCCAAGTAGTAAAATAAGTAGTAGCAAAATAAATTGTTGAAATTCACATTTTTTTTTTAGATCTGGAAGTTGGGTGGTAGCCACTAATCGTAAGATTATTACGAGGTACAGTGACAATAACATACCGGCACCAATGTTCTTACAGACTTAGCTACTACATATTACATTTAATTAACAATAATTAGAGTTTAACAAGATTGTTAACTTTGCATGTAAAGAGATTACAGTAATGGCGTATCTGAGGCATCTCAAGCAGTGTTTGTTAGTCTAGTTCTTCTATAAATTTACCCTTTTGCACTCTTTGGGAGGCGTCTCCAGTGCTATACTCATTCAAGCTGTCTTTCGACTGCCTTTGATTAGTTGCATTTTCAATACTCTTATTTTCAGATACTTGTTTTGCACCTTTTAGTTGCACCTGTAGTCCATACACTTACAAAGAGACAGTGCAAACAAGATGATTGTGAAAGCTTATTTAAATGTAATTAAAACATTTAGAGGTCAGGCTAGCTGCATGGTTGCAACACAGGAAAAGGTATCTCTCCAAACAGAAGAAAAATAAAGAAACAGGATTAAAAAAAAAAAGTGCGGTAACAATTGAGTAAGCCTCAGTTATGGCAAGATTTTATGTGACTTCAGTGGGAGAAAGAATAAACTCATATTGCATCTAGTTAAGTAATGACAGACTTGATTTCTAGGCTTAATGTTCAGTGAAATTCCCTAAATTCATCCTACCAAGCCAGCTGGAAGAGCTCACCTGTGTTGCCAGAATTGGCTTCATTTTCTGTTGGTGTAACTTTGCTACTGGTGTCATTCACAGACTCTCCTGACACCTCTTGTGCAGTAACCTCCCCTCCAAGATCTTTGTCCAAGTCTACGTTTTGTGACTGCATTTTAGGATATGTGATTTAGGCAAATATCAGCCAAGTCCGTATTTGACTTACGATCCAACTTTCAGACAAAATGTGCAAAGGCTTTAGTAGGACAACCTGTATCAGATACAAAGACCATATGAGTAACTTACCAAGCCTGCATGGAGTTAGCCACTGGATCTAGTGCCCTGGTTTAACCTCGCCTAGTAATAAAGTACCACACAGCTGCTCGCTCACCTCCCCTTCCCACTCCAGTGGAGGAGGAGAATCGGAGGAAAAGACAAGGAAGCTCGTGAATTGAGATAAGAACAATAATTGAATTTAAATTAATATTATCGTGATAATAATAGTATCAACAATACTACTAATTATAAGTACTTAAAATAATAGAAAATTAAACACAGGATACAATTGCTCATCACCCACCGACCGATGCACAGCCAGGTCCCAAGTTGCAAGAGTCAGAGCCAGACAGCCCGAGAGCGATTGCATCGGGGTCTGAGCGAGCCCCACGAGTGACAGCATGACTGGGAAAGCCCACGGGCCCCCCAGCTCATGAACAAATGAGCAAGATTGCAAGCTAACTAACAAGCAAGCAAATGAAGGAGCTATGGTCCCCTAGCCCACTCCCTGCTTATGTGCTGAGCTTGACGTGCTCTGGAACGAAGCACCCCTCCGGTCAGTTTGGGTTGGCAGTCTGAGCTGTGTGTCCCCCCACACTGCTTGCAGTGAGGAAGCTGGGAACGCAGCTGCAGTATCAGAAGCTGAGAAAGACCCTGAGTTGGTGCAAGCATTTTCCAGCACCAACTAATAAACCACCTTATCAGTGCTGTTCTAAGGGCAAATCCAAAAATGTAGCCTCATTCCAGCCATTGTGAAAAAAATTAACTGTCCTGACTAAAACCAACACTGTCTTGTCACTGTGGAGATACCAAAAGGCAGGGAAAGTTTATCTTAGATCCTGCCCACAGTGGATCTCACTCAGAGCAGAGCACCGTGGCCAGGAAGCCTCCCCAGACCACAGCAAGTCACGTTTTTCCTTCCGAAGCCGGTGCACTGGGAACGCAGCGATGGCCCTTCGCGGCACAGCCTGCTCTCGGGTAACGCCTGCCCCCCCTTTACCTGAGCCGAGGGCTGGGCCG